TGATAATGCTGATATTATAATATCATGATATTATGATAATAAAGAGTCTTCATTTCCGACTCTTCTCATTTTATAAATCACTCAGTGCAAATGACTAAAAATATTGTTTTTAAGGACTATTAATTATGCCAGTAAGATATAACTTCCTGATCAAAATGACTCAAAAGTTAAATATTCCATGACCTCAAGAGTTGAAAATTCACCTCCCGTGACAGCAGTGTTATATGGCTGGCACCGTGATTATGAATTTTCGTGTGCGGTAGCATCAGCAAAACTGTTTCAGTTCAGTTTTTAAATATTCACTAAAGGTCAGTTCCCAGCCAGGCACTTATTTTCAGGTGTAACCATTGAATTGTCCCATAGAAATTCAGGATGTGGTGGAAACACCTCTTTTCTGAAGCATCTCCAGGCAACTGGTTGGAAGGAGAAGCTTTTCCCTTTTCTGAGCATCAGCCATCTCGTGTGAGAACGGAGAAGAACCCCGGGTTGAGAGGTGCCCTGGCCCAGAACTGCTGGCAGTGTGGCAGTCTACATATGACAAGTGATTCTGGTTATGGAGCCAACCTGTGTACCTTGCGTTCACATAGACAGGTGGTGTTTTGTTGTTTTTTTCATTTTTTAAATCCCTAAATATAGATGAGTTTTCTGTATTTTCAGAATTGTGAAAGCACCTTATCCTAATATTTTCTTGTTTTAATTTGAGATAACTGGACAAGTGATTTCTGGGTTTTCAGTAATAATGTTTACCTTTAGAATTAATTTTAGCATTCCATCCCACAATTTTTGTCTTATTTAGCTGGGTTTGCTGCATCTAGCACGATGTGAGTGAAAAGTCAGCCTGGATGCAGAAACACACGAAAAGCAACAGCACTGGGGAACCCAGGGACATAAAATATTTTTTGAGTTTAAGTTTAGAATTTCTGCATGCTTCCTGCAGGAATCGCAATTATCTTCCCTGGCTCAGAGATGCCCGTTCTTTCTCGGTTCAAGGTTGCTTTTCTCGTTGCGCTAATAGCATTGTTTGCATCTCCTTTTGTTATTCCCTCTCTGGACCCAGCTCTTTCTTCACCAGGGATTTCCTCGAAAGCCAGGCCGACCCTCTGCCTTGGAGACACCCCTCAGAGGCTGGGGGACCAAGTGTTTATCTGGCTCTTGTAATGGGTTGTTAAAAGCACTTGTTCATCAGATATTTTCTTTTTCTTTTTATTTGTAGATTTAAAAGTATTTTAGCAGGTGTACATTTGCATATAAAAGAGAACGAAAGATAAGAAGTTGGGGCTTTTTCTCTCTCTTCCTCAGCGCCATCTCTCTCCTGCCTCTCTTTATTCAGCACATTTTCGTTTTCTTGGTTTTCTAGACACAAAATGAATATCAAAAAGAAAAAAGAAAACAATCTCAGGGATCCTTCACCACTTTGTAAGAAGATAGATGATTGGGTTCAGCCAGCTTGTGTGACCAAGTAGGGAAAAATAATATTTATCTCATTGTGTTGTCAGCCTGGAATTGATAGCCAGGGATAGATATTAACCCCCTGGATCCCTTGCCTTATTTTGTATATTAAGCTGCAATATTTTCTACTTTTGAAACTCCCCCCACCCCCCAAAAAAAAAAGAAACTCCCCATCTCAACACAACTTTGAGTATGTGAGAGAAGCCTGACTGAGCGACTCAGAGCTGCAAGCTTGTGGATGCGTGTATGCTATTTCTGTGTGCATCTGAGCATCATTGTGTTCTTAGAAATAGTTGTTTTATCTAACTGTTTGCACTACTCAGTATTTTTTTTTTTACTACAAGAAGAAGTAGCTCTCTGGAGTTGGGAGTCACAGGCTACAAAGCGAAGCCTTAAGGGGCCTCCCAGTCCTCAGGTTTGTAGACTTACAGTGTCCGTGCAGTGGTGAAGACTCAGGTCTCAGGGCTTTGCTCCTTGAAAAGGTACAAAGGACCCTCGTCCCGACTTTATTCATAACAGGCCAACTGGAACCTCCAGCTTTGTTCCCTTCACTCCTGTGTCTGCTCACTCATTCATTTAATAACTGAATATGCACGGCTGCAGTGTGCAGCCTTCAACTGATTGATTCTTCACTGCCTTCTTCCAGAAAAACCTGGACTTGGATTGCCCCAAACTCAAGTCTGTAGCTTTGCCTTATGATGTTGAAATCCTGGCCAAGTCTTCTAGGCTCTTCCAGAAGAGGGTCTGAATTGTTTGAGCATCCCTAGCAAAAACTGTTCTCTTGCTTCCAAGGATTCTGAAATCTGGTTTGTTTGATACGGACAGCTCCTTCTAAATCCCCAGGGGACTGCTGCAGCCTCCCTGCTGCTGTGTTGTGGACTCTGCTGGGCCCCTCAGCGGGGAAAGCTGGCCCTGACATCCAGCTTGTGTCCCATGGCCGAGGTTTGTCTCTAAGGGTGCTTGTGCCTCATTCAGTGAACACAAGAAACTTTCTCCCTGCCCTCCAGTTTCAGGGTTGCAGGTATGTTCTGAGTGGCCTGGGCAGTGATTTAATTTTTTTAGGGCAGAAATCTGGCAAGACTAGGCCCATTTTCTCACCTGGCAGCTGTCAGCTATGGCCAAAAGACAGCTGTCCCCCCGCCCCAAGACAGGACACGAACCCCCTCCCATCCCCTTGCTGCCCCATGGCCACAGGACCCAACCTCCCTCCCCCCTTGTCTGGCCAGAGTCACATGTGTGGTCCTGCCTGGCCCCCGAGAATCAGCATGTATACCCTGCCCTGTCCTTGCTGTCTGCGGCAGAATCTGTGATCCGGGTGCTGAAACTCCTTGGCCCTTATTTCTACACAGGCTGCATGGCCTTCAGCCTCTCTTGGTCATTTTTTTTTAAACCAAACCTTGATTTTGTTTTTCCTGTCTGGGTCATCTCTCAGTGCTTGGTCTGCTGTTTTGTGCAGCTCTTCTGACCAAAGAGTGAGGGGAGAAGGACTGGCATCCTGAGCTCTGCTCCAGCCCCTCCAGCTGCTTTGGGGGCACTGGTCCTGCCTCAGTTAGTCTGTTCCTCCAGTGGGTGCAGCTAATCCTTTCACCTTTGAACCTCCCTCCGCCCTGAAACCATTAACAGAAGCTTTCACCAGAGGTAAGGCAGGCGATGCCCCTGGAGGCCCTCAGCTAGCTTTGCCAACCCTGTATTACTCAGGTCCGGGCTGCCACATCCCAGATAAAAACTGTCCCAGGGGCCACCAGCGACTCACCTTGGAGAAGGGCCCCAGGAGGTCTGAGGATCAAATGCCAGTGAGGAGCTGGGTTAGGAAGGAGGCAGGCTCAGTCTGAATGGGTGGGAGATGTTAGCTTTCTCCCTCCAAACCGCTGTGTGTGGGCAGCAGACGCAGCTCAGGGAGAAATTCCAGAGTCCTCTGCGTAGGACAGGCAGCAAGCACCCTGTGAGGGAGGTGTGGGGTGTGTGACCGTGGCCCGCGATTTCCAAGCACTAGGATGGTCCCTGGACTGAGGCAACTTGCTGCCCAGTCTTCCCTCCCAGGCTCAGACGAGCGAGGAGGTTTGTTCCGTCTCATATTTGAACAGAATACTTAATCCCCACCCCACCCGCCAGTCTGAAATCACTTCACAACTAGTAACGTGATGTTTTGCACAAAAATCCTCTCCAGAAAATAAATAACATGTGTTCCTGATTTCTGAGAAGCCTGAGAACCGGCTCGCTCGAGTGAAATGATTCCCTTCAGACGGTTGACAGACAAGCCCAGCTTCCAGCTCCAGCCACCAGGGGCCTTTGTTCACCCAGAGGCTGCTCTCTTCTCTTTCTTCCTTTTTCTTTCTTTCTCTTTTAAAAAAAGTTCTTTCCATCTTGCTGTCTTTTCCTTGCCCAAATAAGTTTAAATGAATGTAGAAATAGCACATAGTCATTAAAATCTGGACTTGTATCGTAAAAACTGAAAACCTTTTGGGTTGATCTTCACAACAGCATGTTTATCTCCTTCATCTCCTTTACCTGTTCAGAATTCAGACACTCCACCTTTGACTTCGTTAACACCTTACCCCCGCCCCAGGCTGCCTTACAGGGACTCTGAAGTGACAAGGACATTAGAATCAACCAGAGTATTACAATGCACTCCTGTCTGAGTCACCCCGGGACAATGGGCCAGGCCACTGCCACACACACACACACACACACACACACTCACTCACTCTCTCTCTCTCTCTCTCTCTCTATCTCTCACTTTCCCCTCCTGCGTGTGCTGCATCTGGTGTTTTCTTTAGTAAAGTTTTCAGAATACACAAGATGCACACTAGATGCACACTAGAACTAGTGTGTACTGATTTCACAACCCAGCAATTTTTAAAAAAAGTTTCTTTAGAATTTATTATTTTCAAAATCGAATCCCTGATCTGTACTTTTTTAAATTAGAGAGCATTTACTACTCCAAAATAGGATGTTCATTTTAAATGCTTATTTTTTATCTCATGTGATTCTGAGTAGGTAAGTTATGTCTTTCTCCTTTCGGTAGTTTTTAACCAGTAACAAGGGCCTCGTGGTTCAATTCTTAAACTGAACCAGCAGGAGCAGGAATTCAGCCAATGGCCAACGCCCATAGTCTGTGGCCCTGTGGGGAGCATGGCCTCGGGGGCTGTTTTGCTGTGTACTGCTGGAACTCTGTCCTTTCTCCACTTCACCCACGAGGCCTTGAGACCTGAGGGAGCAGGAAAGCCTGTGTCACTCAGGTCCTTCACGGGACCTCTCTGTATTGCTTCTCCCAGCAGTCTTCCCCACTTAGAGAAGGACCAAAGGGTCTGTGGGTTTCCTGTTTGTCTGTATTTTGTTGACTGTGCTTTTGGTGCTGTATCCAAGAAATCACTGCCAAATCCTGGAGCTCTTCTCCTACCTTTTCTTCGTGGAGCTGAATAGTTTTAGGTCTTACATTCAAGTCTTTAATCCTTTCTGAGTTGATTTCTGTGTGTGATGTAATGTAAGGGTCCAACTTCATTCTCGTGTCTGTGGGTGTCCTGTTATCTGCGCCTTTTTCTCACCTGTAGAAACGAAAGCCTACCAGAGGCTGAAGCAGTCTGCCCTCCAGGGCAGCACGCACCAGGCCAGAGAAGGATTCCAAGAGGCCACGGCCCCCACGTCACAACCTTCAGGTGAGCAGAGCGACACTGGGAGCCCCCAGCCACCGCCCGGGCTTGTGCAGGGAGCAGTGTGCCCTGTCTGGAGTTTGCTTTGTAACGCATTATCACCACCTTAGGATGAGCCAGGGTGCCATCATTAACAGCAGGCGTTTGGAAGCAGCTTCCTTCCAGGATGTGTGCTGCCCACAGCCTGCGGACCCTTGGAGTCTGCCTGACGTGTCATGACAGTGCCACCAGAGACAACCCGAACTCCCTCTCTTCTCACACCTTCCAGTTTGTTAACCAGCGGTGGGGTGTGTCATCCGGGCCATCTCCCTTGCCTGAATGTTGGGGGATTTGAGCTCCTTTAAGTAAAAAGACTCTGAATCCCAATAAAAGCTCAATTTTTAAGCTTAAATGTAGTTCCTTTAATCCAGGATTTTTGTTTTAATTGTAGTCTTGCTTAGTTTTCTTGAAGGGAAAGGCTACCCACCCACTCCAGTATCCTGGCCTGGAGAATTCCATGGACTGTATAGTCCATGGGGTCGCAGAGTTGGACACAACTGAGCGACTTTCTCTTTCACTTAGTTTTCTTACATGTTATTATTGTATTTTTATTATTTTTCAGTGGTTTCTACTTTATTACATTTTATTTTTTAATGTAAGTCACTTCAGCTCCTATTGTGAAGGTAATGGATTAATAACAGAAGGAAGTTTACTTTAACGACTTTCTAATTTTGGGCGGTGGGGGTGGATACGTGCTGCATGGCTCATGGGATCTTAGTTCCCCGACCGGGGATTGAACCTGGGCCCTCGGTAGTGAAAGCACTGGGCCCTAACCACTGGACCGTCAGGGAATTCCCTCCGATTTTTATATAAACCAGCATGCTGGAATTCACCTGTAAGAATGATTTCTTAGCACCACATAATTCCTAGTCCATGTTTAGATTTCCCGGTTGTCTCAAGGATGTCTTTATCAAACAGACACTTGGGGGGAATGTCAGACATAGTCCCTGGCAGTGCTGGGCGTGCGCGCCGATCTCAGAGCCACCTCAGATTGAATTGTGGACGTGTGACATGTCGGTTTGTGTGCCCGTCTCTACGAGAAGCCACTTTGTTCTCATGTCTGAAAAGACCCGGTTCATTTAAGCAGGTGCAGACCGTCCAGGGGCTGAACATGGACACTTTGTTGATAGAACCGCTTTGCCTCAGAGGTTACGAGCAGACGCGCAGGTTACAGGTTAGGAAAACAGCACATGCCTTTTGAGGAGGTGCTCACGCACCCTGTAGCCATGATCTTAGGTGACTGCCAGACTCAGACTGGTAGCAGAAGCATCCAAGGCTGAGGGCAGGCAGAGGTCAGGGATCACCCTGGCGAGCTCCAGGGAAAGGGCTGGACAGTGTGTGTTCCCCATCGGCCTTTTCAGGCTAGTTAAGGGGTGGCCTCGATGGTTCTCAGCGGAGGTTTATTCTCCTCTGCAAGAAGGAAAAGTGAAGGGTCTGGCAGAAGGGCTTAAAGATGGGTGGGCAGGCACTGGCATCTAGAATACCAGTTAACGCACGAGACTGTTCCCACCTCTCATTGTCTCAGTGATCTGTCGCTGCCCAAGTGTCACAACACGAATCGTCCAGAGCTTAGGGCCACCATGGAGACCCTGCTCGCACGTGGTTTGTGGCCATTTCAAACGGTGCTGTTTGAGCGACTTCACTTTCTACTCACTCTGTGTCAGTATCACAGGAAACCACCTGCGATAACAGGTTATCAGGGGAACTCCTTCCCTATCATCCCCGCCTTGCCTTCTGTGAACAGCTTTCTCTGCTGACGCTTGTTTAACAGGTTGGGGCTTCTTCACCCCCACGGCGGCCAGGCTCACTGCACGTTTCTGCTTGCTTCTCTCAGGTTTGAAAACCGGCAGCAGGACATTCCAGACAAAGACGACTCACAAAATCGCTTCGGAAGCAAGTTTTTCATCCAGCAAAGGGAGTCCTTTGTCAAGGTAAAGTCGTGGAGCCTTTCTGAATCGCGCCAGCAAGATGAGAAATGTCACTCCGCTCAGGGTGAAACTCTTGCTGCACATGATTTTGTTGGGTGACTTGATGAAACATTATGGTTTGGGTTTTGTTTATCTGAAGTGACAGTTGAAACTTTAGTCTACCTTTGAAAATATTTGTCCCAGAGCCAGGTATTGTTTTGCAGCTGTTGTTTCCTTGGTTTAAGACTCCATTGACACCTCAGTGAACCACAAATTAGCGTCTACAGCTGCTCGCAGTAGGGCTGCTTAGAAACCACACAATGGAGGGTGTCGGGAGAGGGCAGAGAGAGAACGCAGGGCCTTAAAAGAAATAAAGTGGCCCGTTTCTTCTTTTGGAGACAGCGGGTATATATACAAGCAGTTGCTGGGTATTTATTTTTGTATTCCTCTTTTTTTTTTTTAAAACCAAGTATTTGGGCTGGACTATTATTTCCCTTTCTGATATTTTCTTGCTTATTTTCAAATATGAAAATTTATCTTTTCACATTTTGTAAACTGTAGTTTAAAACTAAGTTTTGGGGGCAGTGATAAGCGAGTTGTATGCTAGCTTTGCAATCAACATAAAATACTGATCGTGCAGTGGCATTGAGTCACGGAAGAAGAGTATGTGGGTAGGGGTAGAAGCAGCTGTCTGATGACAGACCTGCCTTTTCACTTTGAGCTACATATTGTTTCAAACAATACAGGATTGCCTTTGCAACATTTCCCCTTAAAAGATGTCCTATAGATGATTACATTTGAAATAATTACTTGCCCTAGTGAAATTTTAAAACAGAAACTTTACATTTCTGATGTTCCATAAGATTAACTTTACTTGTTTAGAAATGTAGTATTTTTACAGTGGAAAAAAAAATCTCATTTTCATTTGTGTTTTGAAAACTCTTACAGTATTTTTAGGACCTGGAATATATTTAAATGAGGTTGATTTTCTGAAATTAAGTTTTTGCTTTTAGAAACTTGATATGTTCAATTTTAGGGAATCACTCATTTAATTATTAGAAACTATTATTTTTAATACCTGCGTTTTTGTCTGTTTTTGAAGCAAGTGAGAGAGAATGAATTATGGGATAAGAAGAGTTTTAAAGTATTATATTTTTATGATTTTACTATAAATTCAAGTTCTAGGTCTCCTGAAAGGAATTTTAAAAGAGAATAAATTCTACAGGTAGCTTTTAGGGATTAATGTCAACATTGGCTTAATAATACATCCCTTTAGTTTTTAAAGATTGTTAGAAGTGTTTGTTTTAGAGGTCCTAAAAAAAACACAATTCTTAAATTCTTCCTATATATTCCCCACTTTGGGCAATGTTTAAACCCATTCAGAAAGCAGTCAGATTCCATAGAACATTTTCTCAGTCTGATCTTTTGACATATTACAGCTCGCATCAGTATTTCATTATAAAATCAAACTTCTTTTCCCTTCAGTTTGAGGCAGGGGCCTTTTGTTATTACTGTCATTTCTGCATGAAATTTATTTCCTAAGTTACAAGTGATCACATCATCCTCTTTAAGGAGAAAAAAAAAAAAAGAGTCCTTCTAGGAACCCTTGGTTCTCCACACTTGATAATAATCCAGTGATGAAAGTTCTGGGCTTGAAGTGTGTGGGTTTGGCTCACTGTTGGTCACGGTTGGTTCTTGTGCTGGGTTTGGTGTTCATATGCCGCCCCAGGCTCGCTCTTTGTGCCTGGATTCACTGAAATTTCTTAGAGGCTTACATTTAAGGACCCCACTTACTGCAGTCATTCCTTGTGCTTTATTGCTTTTACAAGTGGTCTCGAAACCCAGTACTCGAGAATAAACATAACAGTGCAGTGCTGCTGTAGCACTTTTAAAAATTCTTCTTTGCTCTATTTTGTCAGTGAGCTGATGAGCAACCTCAAAAAAAAAAAAAGAAAGAAAAAAAAGACCCTGCTGGACCTTTAAAAAAAAAAAAATGGCTTCCTCTGATGTCCTAGAGACAATAATTATGATGTGCTAGTTAAGCCCAAACTACAGCTGAGGGATTTTACTTTAAAGCAGCGGCTTGGGCGCAAAAATGCATTTATAGCTCTTTGTCTGCACCTCATTATGTGTGGGCCTGATTCATTAAGTAATTGGTTTGCAGTTGTTTACATGAGTATTAAGGCCTTCCTTTCAGCCGCCTTTGAGAGATACATTGTGCAAATGTTGCCTGTGATGAATGCAGAATGAGGGCCAGAGGGTCCGTCCTATTGGCTAAACAGTGCGCTCTGTTGAAAAGCCAGAGAAAGGGATTGGGCGCTGCTTTGCATAGCAATGACTTTCTTAATAAGCGTTACAGATTAATACACACCAGCTATAAAAGATGCAAAGAGATACTCTTAGCACATTTATCCCTGCTCATTTCATTGTGATGGTGGTGGGGTCCCTGCGCTTTCATATTCCGTTTTCCCGAGCCACGGCTTCAGTGCCTGAGCCGTAATAGAATCCGATGTTTATTGTATTATAAATCACGGGCAAGTAGGCAGATCGGCAACAGTTTATTATTAAAGATTCTTTCAGTGTAAATCTTTTCTCCCATTGTATTTGCCTGAGCAAAATCATTTTGTGGTTGAGTGGGGATGAAAGGCATAATGCACGAAGGAGTGAGTCTTAATAGGAAGCTGTTCTCCGAGTAAAGACCACTTGTCCCCTTTTGTTCAGGGGTGCATGCCGGAGCTTCCTCTCCTCCGCAAACATTGTCTCGCCCCACCTTCCCCAGGAAGCCGTTTCCACTCTCCCGGATCCATGTATTCAACCGAAGAGTGTATTTTAACCGCCCACCACGTTAACTGCAGTTTACTGCCTGGATCGAGATAACCTTTACCAAAAGAAAAGGAAGTGTGCTTGTAACATAATTGCCTGGGGAAAAGGTAGCAGAAGTCACCCAGCCGCCCCACCCTGGCAGGGCCCGCTGTGGGTGGCTTTCAGGGCCAGCCCTGCTGCCCCGGGAGCGGCCGGTGGAGGGCGCAAGGCAGCAGCCGTGCTCCAGTGGGGCTCTCCTGGTTCTGCTTGCCTGGCCCTGGGGCCACTTTCCCTGGGATGATCTGAAGATCACAAGGAACCCGTAGTCCAGAGAAATAAACACGAGGTTTTCCTGGATGGCCTCGAGGTTCTAGGGTAAAAGCCGCCAGTCTCTGGCTTAGCAAATCTACATTCTCCTTAAATTCTACCAAAGTAGCAGTTTCCTAAAGATTCCACATGTTTCTCGTCATAAGCCCGCCTACTTTACCCCCACCCCCACCCCGCTGTGGCTTGAAAGAAGAGTCTTTGCTTGATTGGCTGAAGGGATGGAGTAAGGAAATTGACCCCTAAAAATGGCATCTGCTGCAGGGCCCCTGGTTGACCATCAGGGGGCGCTCAGACTTTGTCTAATTAAAGCTCTCCGCCTTCAGAAGACCTCGAAAATTTATTATTATTTTATTTTACCTTTTTACCCTTTATTATTGCAGAGAGATTCTAAAGAAACTCAGAGACTACAGTAACAGGAATAAAATAACCTATTTCATTAACTTCCATTCCTCTGGATTTTAGCATCATTTTATATTAATTTTTGTGGACATGCAAATCATTTTTAGTTTGCACTATCCTACATGACAGACTAAAACTCAAGTTTCACATTAGTTTCACAGAAAATAACTCACTTCTTTTTTTTTTTTTCTTTTCTGCTGTAATTTTACCTTATAAATTATACTGATCATGATTTTTCTCAGAGTCTAGTCCGGGTGAAACTTGGTAAACAATTTAAAATTTCAGAAGAAAGTTTAAGTAGCAGTAAGGGGAAAGGAAATATGGTATTTGTTATGCAACTTATTATATAAGAGATGGTGCTGTGCTAGACATTTTAACATGCCTTAGAGCTCTTAGTTTTCTTAACAAGTATACCTTGTAGATATTCTAATCAACATTATTTTGGATGATTTGACTAAGACTCAACTATAGTTCACTGCTGCTACTGCTAAGTCGCTTCAGTCGTGTCCAACTCTGCGTGACCCCAGAAACGGCAGCCCACCAGGCTCCTCCGTCCCTGGGATTATCCAGGCAAGAACACTGGAGTGGGTTGCCATTTCCTTCTCCAGACCTCGAAAACTTAAAATCAAGGATTCACAGTGGTTTGTTGGCACGGTGTTTGGTACTTTTTTTTTTCCTTTGTTTCTGAATTCTTTTTGCCTTATATATTTCCAGAAACATGTCTGTTTGGGGGAAAATTGTAGCTGAAGACGCTATGTGAGAGATTTTAATACTGATTTTAGCCAGCAGTCAAGCTCATTAGAAGTTACAGAATTCAGAGTCTAGCGACCACATCTTCTCATAGGTCAGTTATTCTCTGCTGGCTTTTGATCGGACCCTAGAACTGCAAGGACTCTTCCCACGGGGGGCCCTTCCTCATTGTCCCCAGCACAGAGCTCTTGGCAGGACCCTGGGAGTCTCACTACCAGACTCGATGGGTGCGGCCTCAAAGCCACAGTAACTTGTGTATGTTTGTTAATGGGCTATACATACATTTTTCTTTCAAAACTATGATGCCATGAGGTTGAGAGTGTGTTACTAGTATTAGAACCTCCCCAGCCCCGAGGAGCTCCTGGGGCCTGTACCACCCCCGCCCCGCACCCAAGCCTGGGCCTGCCTCCCGGGACCCTGTGCTCACCTGACAGCCCTGACATCCTTCGCAGGCACAGTCTGTCATGAACCCTGGTGTGACTTAATACGGAATCTCCTAGGAACCTGTAGAGCTTCCCTGGTGGCCCAGATGGTAAAGAATCTGCCTGCAATGTGGGAGACCCAGGTTCAATTCCTGGGTTGGAAGATCCCCTGAAAAAGGAAATGGCAACCCGCTCCAGTACTCTTGCCTGAAGAATCCTGTAGACAAAGGAGCCTGGTGGGCTACAATCCGTGGGGTCGCAGAGTCGGACACGAATGAGCGACTAATACACACTAGGAGCCCATACGTTTTTCAGGTCTCCCTT